AGGAATGCCCTTGTCAAGAGGAGCATGGTCATCATTGTACTAACAGAAATAGTGACTTTCAAATCTGAACATTTGTTTACTGTTTCAGAACCTGTTAGGGTGGCATGCTCAGGAGTCTGTATCATTGGACTCCAAGAACTTCACTTGTACTGAGGATGATAATGTTCCTTCCTTCACTCACCCACTTTTTTATACTGGTGAAGAAATCTGTGCCACAGCTATACAATTTTAAGTGAGAGATGCAAGATGTAATTTTAACTTTATGTTTTAAATATCTTAACTCTGGAAACAGGTTGAAAATTATGTGGCTTTTCATCTATTGTCTCTGAAGCAGACAAATTGAATTCTGTGCTGGTTCATAGCATGGATTTCTTTCAGAGAAGACCTAAAAATAAAACAGATGTTTTGTCTGTTCCGCCTGAGCATTAAAAGATCCCGCAGCACTTTTCATAAAGGCAAGTATTACAGTGATGCCTATACCCTTGGTCAGTGCTTTGTTGAAATCAAAGCAGGGGAAAGACAAAAACTGTTTTTGATAAACCACATGTAAAATTGTTCAAAGAAGGTGCAAGACAAATGTTAACATGATTAAGGACAAGCGCTTCTAAGCTTTTTAGGAGATCACACACTAGGTTGACAATGGGCTGGTTTCTCTCAAATTGAAAGTTGAGACCCATATTTCAGATATTAGAAATTAATCTTAAATGGCTAAGCTCACTAGATGACAACATCTTCTGGCAGCAGGCTGGAATGACCCAGCGTGGGTCAAAGGCAGGTTGGCACTGGAACCTGGCTACCAACATTGCCATTGATCTCCCCTGCTCTGGCACAGTGAGACATGAGTGAAGTTCCCTGCCACCCAGTCATGGTATGTGAGAAGCCCCCTAGCTCTGCAGGTCAGGTCCAATTGTTCCATGAGCCAGATTTGGCCTGCACACCGTAAGTTACTGACTCCTGGCTAAGGCAATGGAGGAGAAATGGCTCCTCATGGCTTCTGGACACCCGAAAGGGAACAATGATCATTCCTACTGGACAGTGGATAGGATTTCTGGGACATGGAGAGCTCTCACCTCTGCATGAAGAAGGCAGCCTCTGAGGGAAAGCGCTAGTAGGTCTGGGTGTAAATAGGCCAGCACTGATGTTAGATGACTGCTGCTGACCTTCCAGCTTATCTCTGGAATGCAATAATCAAGGCTTCTGTTGCTCACTCCCTCACAGGGCACTGTTTTCCCTATTCTAATTCAATTTAGCCAACCTTGAAGTTAGCTGAACTCTGTAGCACCTTTGTCACAACTCCTGTAAGGAAGAAACCCTGCCCCTTGTGAAGGGGGCCTGGAGAAACTGACCAGAGGTATTTTTAAAGACCAAAACCAAAGAAACAAGATAGGCTCCATATAGCAAGATTCACACATTTAGGTCTGTATATCCTGTCTAGCAGAACTACATTTTCTTTCATGTTTCTCACTGGCCTTTGTGTGTTTGTATTCAAGAGAGGACACTTTTCAATAACTTAACTGCCTCCAAATTGCTTCTTCTAATTAAGACTACACAAGCTACTGTGTCAATGGCCAGAATTTTCCCTCACCTTCCACACTGAACAGCATGCAGGTAGCAAGATATTGGATGACTGCACTGCACTGGTGTTGTGCTCCTTACACAGGCAAGATGCATATTTACTTGAGAGGAAGTTGCCTGAAAAAACATCCGAAAAAACTACTTCACAGTTAGGGCGGCTAGGAGCTGGAACCAACTTCCAAGGGAGGTGGTGCTGGCCCCTACCCTGGGGATCTTTAAGAAGAGGCTGGATACCTACCTGGCTGGACTCATTTGAGTCCCGTTTTTTGTTTTTAGGGTTCTTTTGTTGTTCTCCCGCCCTGGCAGGGGGTCGGGCTAGAAGATCTATTAGGTCCCTTCCGACCCTAAAACTATGAAACTATGAAAGGACTATGGGATCACAGCTAGGGTTTGCAAGGCATTCAGTATCTGTAGTACTCAGCAGAGCATTCTAGGATTGCTTTCAAAGTACATCAAGAAATAGGGAGCCCTTATTCAGGGACACAAGGCAGAACAGGATGTAGATGGTGGCGAACTAGGGAGCACTACAGAATCTGTCTGAACATGCTAGCTTTCAAGAATCCTGAATTATTACCAAGTGCTTTTTTCTTCTCCAATGCAAAGGACGCTATGCTATGTTATCCTTCAGATTAAGAGTCAGGAGTGTAAAATAGGAAGCTAATATGTTTGTGTGCTTGGTCGGCCTACTACGCTGTCGCTCCCCAGCAACAGTGCATCAATTCTAAACTTCCGTGTTGAGTCCTGACAAAAACGGAGCACGTATTTAATACAGAAAAATCCTAATGCAGACAAGCAAAATGATTTGTGGTCTCTACTCAGAGTGTAAAATAGGACTTATGTGCTTTATTAACCAGTAAGTTACAAGAAAACAGATTCTGAACTCTGCCATCACTGCTTCTTTCTGTTTTTAGCAAGAGGCAAAGACACACAATGGCAGGAAGTACCACGTTCTGCATGAGGAGATTAAGGGCTCTTGTAAACGTAAAACCGAGTTCTCACGGTTCCCCAGCACAGCCCTGAAAACTGGTATCACCCCTCTGCCTCAGCTTCCTTTTCTGTCGCACAGAGATGAAAACACTCAGCTACTCGCCCAGGTGAAGTTGTGAGAATTCATTTATACTTCTACACCTCCGGGGAAGGAATCCGACCTGATCCACACACCAAAGAGCTACTAAGCACAGCTCACAAAGACACTCTCATGGACCCAGAGGGACAGCTTTCCATCTCCAGCTCTCTCTGTGCAAAAATGCAGTTTATTTCCTACCTGTGGGGACTTTTTACCATCTTGTACCATCTACACTTTTCCCAGAACCTGACGAAGGGACTTTGATCCCAAAAGCTTGCAGAAAAGGTCAATTTTCTTGTGATTTCCCAGTTGGTCTAATAAAAGGTATCAGTTTGGCACCAAGAACTCTAGTTTTTTGTATGTCTTTATACTTATAAGCACTTTAAACATGTGTGATGCACGTGTGCCAAACAATGCCTCAGCTTGCCGCCCATCCTGGAGCACCTTCTTGCTTAACTGTAATGGTGATTTCAAAGGCAGCGTGAATAAAGAGCCAGCATTTCTATGGATCCAGATGTAGCACACAGAAACAAACCACGGCAAGGGGAAAGCAACCGCTGCACCTCGAGACAAAGCCTTACGACACCATCCCCGCCAAAACAGCGGCAACAACCACTAGGCCTGTGGCCCCAGCCGCAGGAAGACAGGGCTCAAGTCACCGCCTGCGCGAGGGGCCGTGTCGGGCCCACGCCGGGGAGCACCCCTCTCATCACCCGGGACGCTGCAGGGCGGCGATGCCCTGCTCCGTGGTGTGAGCGCTGCACCATTTCCCCGTGAGAAGAGTCCTTGTATCGCCCGCGCTGCCCCGGTGCGCCCGGCCCGGGGGAAGAAGGGGGGAGGTCACCTGCTGAGCGGCCACGGCCTGCGCTGCTCCCCGGACGCGTCCCGCGCCTCGCGGTTGAAAGCGTCATATGACCCCTCCGCACCACCGAGTGGGGCGCGACGTGCCAGAGCAACCTTCCGCCCCGCTTCCTGGCCCCCGTGCCGCCATTTTTACTGAGGGCACTTGCCCTTCTCTTTCGGGATCTCAGCGGGTGTCCAGGTCCTGTCACGTGGTCGCTCCACCCAGGCTGGGCCCCTGCCCCTGCCGGCCGGGAGGGACCACGCAGGGGTCTTGGAGCTGCCCTGGCGGACGTGATGGAGGTGCCCAGGGGCCGTCCAGACAAGCTCATGTCACAGGTGTAAGGCCCTGGCCCGTGGGCCTCCCCGAGCCTAGGGGCATCAAGGCCCCAGCGCTGTCCTGCTCACGAGGCAGGCCGGGGTGGAGGAGAGCAGCCTGGGCAGGTGTGCGGGTAGGGTGGCCATTCGTCTGGTTATATACAGGACAGTCCATGGTCCTCTGCCCTCTACTGATATGAAACCGTGTGCCTTTATGTCCTCTATTTTTCACTGCCACCGCTGCAGCCGACTGCAGCCATTGCCGCTGCCTGCGGGAGCTCTCCATGCTCCCCGGCCTCGGGAGGCACACGACGTTCATGGTGGTGTCCTCTATTCTTGAGGTACCTTGATGGCCAGCCTACATGCGGGCTTAGCCACAGTCTCGCCTTCCCCCACTGACGACGAGTTCACAGCCACTGTCTGGTCTTGCTTTGTCTTTGGGAGAGCTGGAAAGCCCAGTCGAGGGGCCTCGGCCTCAGCTCTCCCCCAACAAAGATCTTTATCATTCCTGTCCACATTCAGGGCCACTGCGGCTCCTGGAAAAGTCTGCCTCATGGTGCTGCTGATGGGCAGAAGTGCCCCTTTGCCCCCTGCACCCTGCTACGGGCCCTCCCCAGTCCTTGGGGACAGCGGGCTCTAAACTTTTGTAGCCCACAGGCAATGGCAACGAGCAAATAGGACGCTGAGAGCAACATGAGGCTCTTTTACTTGTCAGCCTCAAGCATCAGAGGGTGGGGAACAGTGCTGGGAGAGGTGAGCTGCACTGCCTCATCTCAGAGGTGGAAACAGCATGAGGTGTTGGGGTGAGAATTTTGCCTCTACCACCTTAAGTGCAGTAACTTGGTGACATCGGGCACTGTTCCTTTGTAAAAGTCCGGAGGCAGGGGTATTTTACTCTCCTACTTGTATTTCTTAGCGATACATTGATCAACAGAATCAAGCCAGTCTGCTTTCAGCTGCACCAGGGGAAATGGAGTAATGCCACTTGGGTCAGCAGAGTTACCCCACGTTTGCAGTGATGGAACCAAGAGCAGACTCTGGCCCCATTGTTTCTTTTTTTCCCCTGATATATGTACATTCTTTCCCTGACATAGTATGAATATATTTCCCACGTGCCCTTGAATTCTTCAGCTTCAACTTGCTTGCTGCCTGAATCCATATGTTCTCTGTATTGGTTAAACTGTACAGCATTGTTTGGCTTTAATTGTTCTACAGTGTTGTCTTATTTTGGAAAAGAAATACATCAAAATATTGAAAACCTCCCACAAATCTCACATTTTTCTAGTAGTTTTTGCCTCATATGATCCCAGTGCTTTATAAGTAGTGCGTGTATAGCACAATTGAAATTCAGCCACCTCTTGAGTGGACAGTGAGACCAAAGTGGATTTCATAGATTTCATAGATATTAGGACTGGAAGAGACCTCAGAAGATCATCGAGTCCAGCCCCCTGCCCAAGGGGCAGGAAGTCAGCTGGGGTCATAGGATCCCAGCAAGATAAGCATCCAAATTTCTTTTGCAGGTTTTCAATGCAGGTGCTTGAACCACCTCCAATGGCAGGTTATTCCAGACCTTGGGGGCTTGGACAGTAAAGAAATTCTTCCTTATGTCCAGCCTGAAACAGTCTTGCAGTAGTTTATAACCATTCGACCTCGTCATCCCTTGGGGCGCTCTGGTGAACAAACCTTCCCCCAGATACTGGTGATCACTTCTGATAAACTTATAGGTGGCCATCGGATCACCCCTGAACCTGCACTTTTCCAGGCTGAGCCCCATAGCTCTCAGCCTGTCATCATAAGGTCTGTTTTCCTGACCTCTGATCATGCTTGTGGCTCTTCTCTGGACTCTCTCAAGCTTCTCCACATCCTTTTTGAATTGTGGGGCCCAAAACTGGATGCAGTACTCGAGCTGCGGCCTCACCAAGGCCAAGTACAAGGGAAGAATGGCGTCCTGGGATTTGCTTGAGAAGCAACTATGGATGCGAGCCAGCGTTTTGCTCGCTTTACTAGCTGCAGCATCGCATTGAAGGCTCATGTTCATCTTGTGGTCAATGATGACCCCCAAGTCTCTTTCTTTCCCCTCGCCCCATGTGCTGAGCCTGTCCAGGTCAGACTGGATCGCCCTCCTGTCTTCAGGTGTGGATGCTTTGCCCCAGAGTTTGGTATCATTGGCGAACTTGGCCAGTCTGCTTCTGACTCCAATGTCCACATCATTAATGACGATGTTGAACAACATGGGTCCAAGGACAGAGCCTTGGGGGACCCCACTGGTCACAGGGCACCATGACAATTGACTTCTATCAACCACCACTGTCTGGGTCCCACCACGGAGTCAATTCCCCAGCCAGCAGATCGTGGTGGACCCAAGGCCACAATTGGCCAGTTTCGCAAAAAGGTGATCATGGGATACCATATCGAAGGATTTTTTGAAGTCAAGATATATGACATCAAGCTCTTCTCCCTTGTCCAGGTGATAGGCCTCCTGGTCATAAGAGGAAATGAGATTGGTCAAGCAAGACCTACCCGCAACAAACCCGTGCTGGCTGTCCCTCAGGATGTTGGTGTCGTCCAGTCCATTAAGGATGGCCTCTTTAATAAACTTTTCTAAGACCTTCCCCGGGATAGAGGTCAGGCTGATGGGCCTGTAGTTTGCTGGATCCACTTTTCTCCCTTTCTTGAAGATAGACCCCAGATTGGCCTCCTTCCAGTCTTTGGGCACTTCATCAGAGTGCCAGGGGTTCTCAAAGATCCGTGCCAGGGGCTGGGCTATGATGCTCGCCAGCTCCTTGAGTACCCTTGGGTGTAACCCATCAGGGCCGGCTGACTTGAAGGTATGCAGCCTGTCAAGGTGTTCCTTCATGAGGTCAGCATTGATGGAGGGCAGGGGATCTCCCTCACCCAGACCTCCCTGTCCCGTAGCGGGCATGGGTGTCCCATGGGACTGATGAAAGACTGATGCAAAGTACCCATTTAATAGGTTGGCTTTTTCCTGGGCGTCAGTTGTCAGATGTCCCATCCGGTTTAGCAGGGGTCCAATGTTGCCCTTGCTTTTCTTCTTGCTCCCCTCATATCTGAAAAAGGACTTTTTATTGTCCTTGATACTCAAAGCTTGTTGGAGTTCAGTTGCAGCCTTGGCTTTCCTGGTTTGCTCCCTGCAGGAGCGGACCACTGCAGAATATTCCTCCTTGGGGGTGAATCCTGTCCTCCATCCTTTGTAGGCCTTTCTTTTTAGCCTCAGGATTTCATAAATTTCATAGATTTCATAGACATTTGGGCTGGAAGGGACCCTGGAGGATCATCGAGTCCAGCCCCCTGCCCCAGGGGCAGGAAGTCAGCAGGGATCATTGGATCCCAGCAAGATAAGCATCCAAATGTGTCTTGGAGGCATTCAAAGTGGGTGCTTGAACCGCCTCCGGCAGCAGTCTATTCCAAACCTTGGGGG